GGTGGTTCCAACGTAGGATTTTCTATTTCTGCTATTCCTTTGGCGTTTATTAGCTTTCATTCTGCGTAAAGATGAGCTTCCCACTACCCTCTATCATGAACATCTATGGGTCTATGGTTCTTTTGTATTCATTGTGTTATAATTCATCCATATCATTTTTGTTGTTGTTGTTCAAACTGATGAACAGTAGAGCCCTTTCAAGACAACTCCTATGACCTTTTGTTGCCTTTTATCGTGTATGCATTAATATTTGAGCACTTCCTGCTTTCTGGCCTAGTAAGATGCTCTAGGCTTATCTTGTACTTACCTTGGCCAGTACCCAACTATTTCTCCAAAGAGCTAAAGTGTTTAGAAACCAAGATCTGGGTAATTTTCCTTAAACTGCATATAATTCACAGAAAGTTAAGAGCCATTAATCATTTGTTCAAGATCCCCTACCCCCAAACTTCTGCTAAAATATTCCCATAAAGGCATTGGGAGTTCAGAAGTGGGAAGGAAAGGACCAGCGAGAGGAAGAGGTCATTGGAAGTCAAGGTCTTTGGGCTTTGGACCAGAGGTGGCCCGGTGATGTAAAAGATGACGTGCCAAAGACCAATTTAGATTGTGCTGGAACTCTGCCTGGGGGAGACGAGAGAGCCTGAGAAAATGGTCTGTGCTTTTTCCAGGTAGACTCTGAAAAACACTGGTTGCCCTGTTTGAGTGTCCGCTAATGCTCCAATCCAAGACTGTTCCCCTGAGTTATACATATGCTGATTCTTAGAGCAATTTAAGAAATACAGGTTTCATCCTGAGAGTGCCTAAGTGCTCTACATTTTCAGTCAGTGTGGGGTAGGTAGAGATTGATGTATATTTTATCATGTCTTCTTTTAAAAATGCAAATTCATAATTTTTGAGTACTCAGTTGAATGTAGTATCCCAGTTTACTTGCTGATTATATTTGGTTGCAAATTACTAAAAGTAAAAATGTACAGCATTTTAGGCAGCAACTCGTGAGATACAGAAACCAAGAATTTCAAAGTCATTTTCCAAAGTAATCAGCATGCATCTGATAAAATGATAGTGTCTTGATAGCGTCTCTGAGGGGGATCTTGAACTTGAACTGACTGACTTTTCTGGAACTCAGTGTCTCCTCTGTGCTCTATTTTTATGTATAATAGCATAGTTAAAATGTCCATTTGCCTATTCTCTTCTTTCAAACTGAACAAAACATGATGCCAGTAGCTTTTGTTTCCATTTTATGGGGAACCTATGAAAATGCTTAAAAATACACAAGCAGATTTGAAACAGAAGGGTTTTGTTTTTGTTTGTTTTTTATGGAAGTCAGTATTTTTGGAAGTAAAAAGAATAAAACAGAAAAGCAAAGACTACTACATGTATGCTTTGTGCAGCAGGAATCTGGTTATTATTCAGATGGATACACTGTATGTTTCAGATGCTTTGTAATATTATGAAACAAAACCACAGATACACAGACTTTTAATCCGCACACAGTACATTTTTGAGAATGGAGAGCTGTAGGAAAGCAACTGCTCTGTACAAAATAGGTACTGGCTGTAGGGTGCTCGAGGAAGGTGAAGCTGAACATGGAAAGGCACACAGGATTTAAATGTGCTGCTTAGCAAGCATAGGTGAGTGAACTATGGTGTGTGGGGGCCAGATTGTCCCACATTGTCCCTGACTCCTGAGGACCCTCACCATCATGTCACTGATGTGACATCATATCAGTTCTTACGTGATGTCAGTGTGTGGGGTTAAACCAAGCACACTCATGACTAAGGAGTCACCGTTTTTGGCAAATGGATTATTTGCAAAGTCAAATTTTGTCATTGTCAGGAACATTTTAGTATAACTGAGTTCTGTCGGAGGTCATACAAATCAGTTTCTCTTTTCTTACTTTTTATTTAAAACTATCCAAGTGAGCATTGATCCTGATGCCCAAATCCCCCTCCTTATTATGTGTCCTTAGTCTGGGTCTTGTTTGACAGGAGCTGTAGCCAGAACACAATCTCTTCATCCAGAACAAAATTTCTGTCAGACATTAAGACAGCTTGTACAGAATTATATAATTTTAAAAAATCTTTCATCTATATTTTGCTAAGTCCATGACTATTTTAGCCAGTAAAAGTGGATTATATATTGGACTCTAATGGATTTATATATTTTTCTGGCTTGCCCTTGAACTGCAAGACAGAAACTGTATACTTATTTTTTAAAATATTTTATTTAGATTTTTTTTTTAGAGAGAGGAAAAGAGAGGGAGAGAAACATCACATGTGAGAGAAATACCTACTGGCTGCCCCTCACATGCCCCCCACTGGGGACTTGGCCTCCATCCCAGGCATGTGCCCCTGACCAGGAATCAAACCAGTGACCTTCCTGTTTGCAGGCCAGTGCTCAATCCACTGAGCTACACCAGCCAGGGCAGAAACTATATAGTTTTAAGGGTTCAGTCATAAGACTGGATCTGTTTATACTCATGGAGAAAGCGTCTGATGTCCTTGTTCCCGGGCTGGTCTTCATTCTGTTGTCTAGATTCTAATGTGAAATTAAAGTGGGGATAAAAAGAGGCCTTTCCACCAAATGCTTTAGTCTTACTTTCCTATAGCATGATGTTATTTTTCATTGTAAAGGGATATGTGATTACTGTGGAAATTTGGGTACCACAAGGGAGATGCAAAGAAAGTAAACACTGTTCTACTCCTGTTACCTCAAGTTAGCAGCTTATTCAAATGTTGACTTTCTTTTCTTCTGGCCTTTTTTTAAAGATATGGATACTTTAAACAGAGTTGGTACCATTTTGAACACGTTGCATTAGAGTCTGCATTCCTAGTGAACACTGCTTAAACACATTTTCCCATTTAATATCTTACAGGTTTTAAAAGCCTGTTTTTAATTATTGTTGACTACTTCAGTTTTTCAAGTTGCTTGAAACGACATTACTTATAATGGAAAACTTCTTAGTACGTATCTTTATGTGTATATATATCTTACATTTTTAAAGGGTAAATTCAGAGTCTTTTTAAAAATTTATTAGTTTAAGGGCATTAAAAGTAATTTTATTCAGCTTGTCCTTTCCAGCAGTCGTGGTTAAGCCTTCTTATATAAGCAAGAATCTAGCTTTCTAACACCAACATCTCAGTCTTTACAGGTTACTGTGGTAATAACACCGTGTCTGTCCAACATCAGTCGGGACCTTCTCGTGAATAAACGTTTCACGTAACCAAAACTGACACTTAAGGGTCCATACTTGGTAATTTTGAACATGGTGGGTGAGAATCTTTCTAAAATTGTATTCCATATGCTGCTGTTCCCTTTAATGTCATGAAAAGATTTGAAGAATCAGAATTTAATTACTTCTGGTTTAAATCACAAGCATCCTTACAAACGCTACTTATTGTACAGTCAGTTCCGCTAAAATATGAAATACGTGTTTCTAAAAGCCACCAGGCTGTGCAGAATCATGCAGTAAAACCCATAACACTTACAGGGTAAATACAGTCAGGGACACAACACTTGAAGACCTTAGTCAGTGTTCACCAGCGATAACGTTAAAAAATAAGAACTGAATAAAAACTAGCACAATTTTACGCACGTTAGGTGGTTAAGGAATAAATAACTGTGGCACTTTACCTTGAAAGAGCCTGACCTTTTCTTAGGGACTAAGAGCTTGGAAGGGTTGCAGCTTGTGAGTTGTTCTCAGGTGGTGGAAGGAGGGTTAGCTGAAGTCGGAAGGGAAGTTGGGGCTCCCAGCGAGGATGGTGTGGCTCACAGCACACTGGTGGAAACAGCTCACTGGTGCCTGTTTGCGGCATGGGCGTTTGCATTGCCTGTGTCCTTATGCAGCTGGGTCCTGCCTGGGTACAGTCTTCTGCTGTTACCTAGTTTTGCTTGCAAGGACATCATGCATAAATGTGTGAAATTCAAGTCATGCCCACATTGTTTCCTACCATATGAATCTTGGAACAAGCACAAGGTTCACAGCAGAATTGAGTACACTGTGGTAAAACGATGATGTGTGGGCGATATTCTGCTCATCTCTATGTTAGAGTCAGTGCATGTAAACCAGGAGAACCTGGCCTGGGAGTCAACACGTATGCGTGTTGGCAGCAACACCGGCATAATAACAAAAGATGCCTATTGATGTTTCTGGGATTCTGTCTGCTTTCCAGTTATGACCGCCTACCGTAGCAGTTTTCTGCCTTCGTCTGATTGACCTATTGTCAACCTCTCGTGGTTCACAGATGAATTTATTATGCTTCTTAGAATTCCCTGTAACATAAGGGCCAGAATGGGAGAGCACAGACTTAAGGTTATGGTTTACCCATGGCATCTGTTTTACCTACTCAATTTTTGTAATCTATGAATGAGTTATTACCTGTTCATTCACAGGGCTGTTGTTGGGGAAGTAAACTTTTGTTTTAAGTGAGGTTACTGTCATGCAGAATTTTTGGATTTTCTGTTTTATTAGAAAAAAGTGAATGGGACTTTTTTGTTCCCACCTGCTGCAGCGAAGGGTGCTTAAGTGAAAACATCTGAAGGGCATTTAAGAGTTGTTGATTTTCTTGAGGTCGTTGTTCCCTTCTATCACAACTGCGTCTGTGTTTGTGAGATGAGCTTGTCTTTGGAGGGTAGGGTGGGCAAGCATGATTTCGGGAGACCTTCCCTCCCAAGTTGTGTAATTAGAAGTCCAGATCCTCCCTTGGTTGATTTTTATGAGTCCCTGAGCAGGACATTTTTACCGTGAAGGGTTGCCAAGAAGTCTTGCTGATTCCTGCTTTAGTAACTTTAATAAGACAACAGATCAAAATACCGTCTAGATTTAGCAAGCCTTGTTAGTATTGTCCCAAAGAAAGGTAGCTAACAAAGCTCATCATTTAGATATTGCATCAAAATCTATTTTAATTATGCAGTGAGAATCTGAATGGCTGTGGGGTGTTGGCGATTTTTAATTTCTAATCTGACTTTGAGTTTTGACTTTTTTGTCTCTATTCCATTTTCAGATATATTCGGGCTGCCTGACCTCATTGAGTGATTACTATTAACAGACTTCGTGGGAAAAGGGAACTTGCCTTCTGAGCTTTGTACCAAAGACCTGGGAAAAGTAAGTAACCTTCTAACTTGCTTTAAAAACAATTCTGTTACACTTCTCTCAGGAAATTAACAGTGGTTCTGTGGCCTTTCCACTTCCTTTCTTTCCTGGCTTTGTAGTTTTATGTGTTCTTATGGATTCGAAACATGGGAAAGCACTCGGGAGACCTTTGCAAAAACCTTCTAAAGAGACTTGGATGACTCTCTGCCTTGTGTCATTTCTTTTGGGCTTCAAAAAGTGAGTCCTCAAGGTTGTGATAAAACCTTTCATTAGATGTGCAGTAGGGGGATTAAACTTTAAAGATAAGGGAATATAATGTGGTATGACAGAAAGGTGAGTCTGGTTTTTTGACCTTTGGTGTTTAGACTTTATATAGGCTCTTTGGTTCTGAGTTTTTAGAGTAATAGCGAAACCCATTTGACTCTTTTCTTGCCTGGAAAGGAAAACAAAAGGTAGAGTCACTCGTTCAATAAGTTCTTCATGTAGCTTGGCCTTGGAAGATCTAATAGCCTGTCAGTTTTATTATTTTGTACCTTTCTGAGGTATTTTAAGATATGCTAATTGAGACATGTATGCATGGTTTTGCTATCTTTTAGAAAAAGTTGCTGGAGGCTATAAAGTTCAATTTTATTCTCTGATCTTTTCGAAAGATAAAATGGGCTGTAAAGATAACAAAGTCAGTCTGCTTTGCTGTAGATACTACACTGTACTACACACACACCTCCTTTCTGACATATTCCACAAATGGTATTGTTAACAATGGGAGCTACTCACCCATTTAAGTGCTGGAGAGTTTTCTAGACTTCTGTGCCTTGTGTCTTACAGTTCCTGTGCATTTCTTACAGTACAAATGAGCTAGTTGAAACATGGCTAAAATAAAGCAAGGCAGAAAATAACTTCGCTTTAGAAGTTGTCTAAAAGCATTAAATAATAAGATAGGATTTGATCAGATTTTATTGTTATATTGTATTTACTATGAACATAATTAAATTGTGTATTTTATAATAATTATGATAATAAGGTAAAGGTCTTTAATTATGAATCCTATTTGACGTTTAAGATTTTGTTTATTTATTCTTTTAGACAGAGGGGAAGGGAAGGAGACAGAGGGAGAGAAACATCATCGTGTGAGCAAGAAACAGTTGCCTCTCACACACCCCCAGTCGGGGACCTGACCTGCAACCCAAGCATGTTCCCTGATTGGGAATCGAATCAATGACCTTTTGGTTTGCAGGCTGGCACTCAATCCACTGAGCCACACCAGCCAGGGCTGAAGTTTAATAAGACATTTGTACTGAAAAAATATTATACACACATACAGTGTACACACACCACAAATACAATTTTGGAGTGCTCTCAAGTCTCTGCTAATATGAATTCTTTGAAAGGAAGGACTTTGAAACTTTTCTCCAAAAATAGTTAATTTGTTACAGCGAAATATTGCAGTAGTGAAATACTATTGGCAGTGGAATTTTTAAAATAATACCAATTTTATTTAAATTGTGTAGTGTTGTATTCACATATTAACCTTAAAATAAAGGAAATCCTGTGTGGTGGGGTTGTTATTTTAAGTTGGAAGGATACTTGAAAGAGGATTATGTTGGAAGTCACCAAATGAATGAAAAGGATGGAAGATGAATTTTCTGGGCTTTAGGGTCCAGATACTTGCAGTGGTGTTTAGACTGGATATATAACCTAGCCTCAGAAAGAAAGGGCCTTAAACTGCCTTTCAGATAATTTAGCATCTCCTGAAAATTTAATAGTCTCTGGTGAAATATTTTCCTTCCATTATACCAAAATATTCCCTTTATGACAATGTTATAAAAGTCATTTTTCCGTTTTGTAGAGGCAGGGTATCTGCAGGACTTTTGCTCACAATAATGAGCACCAGACAGACACTGTGTTACCTGAGGGACCATGGCAAATAGGTCTCTGCTTATTAAAGCTGCTGTCACAGATGAATATTTATATGCACCAGAGGATGTCCATTATTCACCTTTTAAGTTAAAAAATAGGAGAAGAAGGTTATAGTGTGTAAGCATACGCCACATAAATCTAGCTGAAGAAATAGTTATGTGGAAGTGAACACTAAGGGGGAAGGAGGGAAGTCCTTTCTGAAAGGTCTAAGTCACGAGAGGACGTACCTGGCACACCTTGACCGTCAGGGTATTGGTGACTGGTTTCTTTTTGAGGAGGCAGGAGTGCAGTTTTAGGAAAAATTCAGAACCACAACCTTCACGCTTCTTTTTACCTCCTTTTGTCCTCTACTTTTATTTTTTCTTCGTTACAAATATGTTTTCAAAATCTTTCCTGTTTCTAGCATTTTGTTTAATTATTTGAGGTGGATTTCAGGAAACTTTGAGTCTGTGATGTTGGCAGAATATAAGAGGGACTTTTGAAAATTAGCCATGGATTGTTAAGAGGTAGAATACAGCTTCTATGTTATTACCTTATTTAATACACATATATTTTTATGTTAATACTGAAAGAGTAGTATATACTATAAATCGTTTGGTATGCTGGGTGGTTTTTTTTGGCCCCACTTAACTTCCATTCTCCTACTAAAGTAACAATACATAATGAACTCCTATGCTAATATTTATGTTCAATATAATTTTTAGTGAAAACAAAGCTACTGAATCTTAGCTTTTTGTTTAATTTGAGGCTATCCTGGCTCTCAGTTGGAGAGGAGTAAAATATGCAAAGAATATGGTGTAGGTTTTCCATCTGCCAACAGAGAACAGTGCACGGTTTCTCCTTCTGTAAATCTCTGCAGTGTTTACTGTGACCATACGTCTTTCTGAATAGGAGGCTAAACATCTGCTCAAAATTGTAGGTGTCACTGTCTGATGGGTACTATGTATAAAGCACTGTCTTCTTTGGTCCCTTTGTTGTATTACAAGCGTGCCGGTGACATACGCCTCCCACTTAGCTGTCTTCATCAATACTTCTGTGTTTAAGGAAGGATTCTACCCACATATTTCTTCCTCACAGGCAACTCTAAGTATTTCAGGTAGGGTGATGGGTACAGAAGGGACATTTCGTAGACTTTGGAACATAATGCATTGGAGTAAATTGCAATTCAAATTAATTGAAGATGCAGAATGTTTTATAGATCTTCGCATACTTTCTCAATTTTAAGTTAATTTATTAAGCCAACATTTGTTGAGCAACTACTATGTGCCAGGTACTGTGTGAGGAGCTCATCATTCAAAGATGAATGAGATATGCTCTTACTTTCAAGAAACTTAAGTTTCAAATTCAGAGCTCGAATAATACTTATTCAGCATGTACCATGTGCAAGCAGTGGTCTGGATGTTCTTAGATGAGGTGTTTGGCCACTAAAATTCAGTAATGGTATTTATTAACTCATCTCCTCCAAAAGCAGTTATGAATAGAATTTTCTAATCTTTAAGTTTTTTTTTCTTCCATTTTATTTTATTAAACATTTAGTACCTGCTACTACTTGTTAAGTTAAATTAGCAAATGGAAAAAAAGTTAAACAAATAACAAGCATTTAATTGATAAATTTAGAATGATGATTTTAAAAACATGTATTTGTGTGTATATATTATACATACTATAAATAACACCTTTTATAGATAGAAACCTGTATACATATAACATAGTCACAATTTCTCCTACTAAAGTAGTTCTTAGTTCACCTGTACAATTAAATATATCAAGATTTATTGTATTTTGTTTTGCTTTTGTAATGTTTTGTTTTTTATTTTTTAAAATACATGACGATCTAATGGCATTCTGCCCTTGGTGTGGCTGCAGTGTCTGAACAGTATGGAAACCATGCATTAAAGCACTTGATTTTCACAGTAATTTTTGGCGTTAGGGATTATTGAAACTTGGGGGGAGGGGAGGAAGTAAATTGCCCACGTTCACACAGCTAGAAAATGTTGGAGTTAGGATTCCAGTTTCTATCCATTCAACTTCCAAACTCACTCAGTGTCCTCCTGGCCCCAGGGAGCTGGTGGGGAAGGGAGGCTCACAGAGGCTCTGGGCCTGCTGAGCTGGGGCAGTCCTTTCAGCTGAGGAATCTGGGAGTGTGTTTGCTGCTCTGAAGAACCGGCAGTGATCAGACATGAGGGCTGAGTTAGAAGACAGAAAAAAGGGGGGAATAGCTGGCACAGCAGGAAAAGCATGCGCCAAAGCGTAGAGGAGTGGAAGCTCCTGGCGCGCTCACAGAGAGGCTGGTGGGGCATGTTGGAGGGCACAGCGGACTCAGGTTGCAAAGCCCCAGCTTTGAGGAGGGCCCCATGGGGGCCATGCTGGCGACTTGAGGTTTCTAAGCACCATATAGCTGGAAGAGTTTTATGGTAGAAGTTTCATGACCCGAGGGAAGTTTTACAGTGATCACTTGGGTGGAGGTCTGCAGTAGAGACCGAAAAAGGGAAAACGGGAGGCACCGGGCCGCCACGTGGGGCTGAACAGGTTGTCCACTGCACAAGGGAATTTGTGAGCAGTGGGTGGTGGGACTGATGACTGTCCAGCTCCTCATTCACCAAGCTGTGTGTTCGCTCTTGGGATTGGGCCTGCCCAGGTAGGGCTGGCACCTTTAAAATTTTTCACAGTAAGCAGCTTTGCTTACCTTTCAATTGCTTATAAAATAATAGGAGGGATTAGATAAAGAAATAACCATGTACCCTGAGGCTTGAGTCTGGAGGTGGGACATGTGGTCTGTTTCCTAACTATGTGATGTTGGGCCTGTTCCTCATTCTCTCAAAGGCTGTTACCTCGTCTTTAAGGGAGAGTTGATAACGGGATGTAGCAGGGCCCTGGACAGAGCAGTTCAGGGTCCTTGGTAAGAGAAGGAGCTAGACGGGCAAGATGGAGAAAGAATAGGGATGGAAAGGTGCTCCAGGCAGTTAGCCCTGAGAGCGTCCTGAGAACTGTGTGAAGAGTTTTGTATGTTATATCTTTTTTAATCCTACATCACTTCTGAGAGGTAGATATTATTGCCTCTTTTTAAGGATTTTGAAACTGTGGCCCAGGTAGGT